TTTTTTGTTCCGTAACATGTTCTGGAGAAAATGAATTCTACGTTAAGAAGTACCGCTACCCTAAATGCCGTTATTTTTTACCGTATTATGTTGGAAGCATTTTTTACTATTTTCTTGTTCCGTATTCGAAACTAATGTCACTTTTTTTTAAAAAATAAATTTATTTTCCACAAGAAAAAATTCTACATTCAAAATAATAGCGTGGTCAAAACCTGTGTTTCTGATTCTATTGGAACACTAAAAATCTCTGTAATTTTTTCCCGAAGAGCTTTGGAAATGAGTTTGGTAAAATTAATAATTAAAATATTATATTTTAGTGAGGGGTAAAATTTTGCAGTTTTATCATAGCACGTAATAGCATGCCATAAAAATCAAATTTACTTCTGAGTTTTTTGTTTTTTTACTAAATGTGTGGAAATAAGAACTACAATTTTAAAATCCAGAATTTACGGTAAGTCTTTGTAATAAGAGAGGAAAAATTACCAAATGAATGGTTAAATACCGTATATTTAGGTTTTTATTACCAGAAATACGCTTTTTTTACAAGAAATATTATTACTAGAACTTTTTTTTATCCGTGTACTATGATTTTAAAAAAAAGCCACTAAAAAATGTTTTTTTTCAATTTATTTTCTAGCGCTGAGGTTGTTTCAAGAAGTCGAAAATTTTGAATACAAATGATACAATGTGACATATTCTTTACACTTCTTCTTTTATCCTAATATTTTTTTTCTGAATATTTCACAACAGATGCTTCCTAACCTGTAAAAATTAGCAATTCGTTGAGTTGCCTCCTGGTAACCTTGACATTGAATGCAGTCCTTTGTAGCAACAAAAACAAAAATATTGTCTACATTTTGAACGAGATTCAGACAAATATACAATATAAAGACCATTGAAGCTATAGAAGTAATGAATAAGCTTCATAACGAGGTTTTGAAATTGATGTTTTTTATCAGGTGTAATAAACATGTGGCCTACACGTCACTATTGTCCCCCTTCCATTGCAACTTATAAGCATTTTAATAAAAATAATATAAATTTAGCATTTACTTTGCTTGGCAACATTTTTTAATTGTTAAAAAAAATAAAGCACTCTTGCAACAGATGATTTGTAGCCCAGGGGTGCCGTGATGATGAAGGCTCCATAATTTCAATAACAATGGCACCGACACTACTTCCCAGACAAGCGGATGGTACCCATTCAAAATCGTCAGCGATAGACGGATTACGAGTTAGAATCCCCTTTTCCATCCCCGAGAAGTTTCCATGAGTTTTCTCTCTATGTAACGCAAAAACGGGTAAGTTACATCAAAAAGTCCTACGCGAAGGCTAGTTTGCCCCACTGATTGATCCAGAAACTTCATGCCTCCTGAGTTAGGTTCTACAAAGATACGGAATTGAGCGTTGATAGTCGTAAACTCAAAAATGGGTCGGCAACTCAACTCCTGTTATATTCACCTTAAAAAATTATGTTCGGTAAGCTAATAGTATTACATCATAACTATTTTGAAGTAATACCAAATATTTTATCTCAACTTGCAAATTCATTGGTGTAGACTGTGCTTGAAGTGTCGAGTGACACTTTACGTCCGCTACGAGAGAAAACGATATTACTCTGAATAACTTTTCTAATGATCGGATTTCCATAAACTGTGAGTCATAATGGTTTAAAGGGGAGACCTCAAATGTGGTAGTTAATTAGTGCAGACCATATAAGTTACGATATTCATTAAAATTCATGTGTGAGTACAACTAAAAGCATAGAAAAAATTAACATTGTATTTTAATATAGTTCAAGGAGAAAGGTAGAAAGAAGCAGATCTAAGTTGAGAGATTGGGACGAAGTACTTATGCAGCAAAAAGCAGAAAAAATCAAAAAGTGGATTAAAATAAAAACAGGAGGAAATGTTGGATTTGAAAAAGTTCCCCTTAAAAATACTGTTCACTTGTTCCCCTTAAAAAGGTGCGATTTGAAGTACAAAACCTGTATTCGATGATCTGATTAAAAACATCATTCGCTTCAAAAATATGTAAATAACAGTCGACGTGTTTCAAGCGCTTCAAAAATACGCGCCCAATTACAAGACTTGCCAGACGTGAACGAGAAAAAGCAAGTGATTTAAAAAAGAAAAAAAGAAGAAGAAAACGTAAAGCTGCTAACGAAAAAAGGAAAAAATAAAGGTGAGATATTCGATGAGTTCATCCTTATAGTTGGGCAGACAACCCAACGTGAGCCAATGCCTTCCTCTGAAGATTTCTCCATGACGACTTCCGATTTATCTTCGATCTCCAATTTCTTTCATTAATTGCGAGAACATCAGACTCCAGTGAGTCAGCCCATCTCAACCGCGGCCTTCCCAACTTTCTTTTTCCAGTGGGTCTAAACAGTATCTTTTTTATTGTATTCGATGAGTTAAACTTGTAAATTAATTGTACAGTGTCCCCCCCCCAAAAAAAAACGGACCGCCCTGAATAACTTTTGATCTAATGATCCGATCTTCACTTTTTAGGACTCAATCTTAATGGCTCGAGAGGGTGACCTCATAATATGCTAATTAATAAAAGCAGACGATATTTTAAGTTACGAAATCAGACACAAAAACGTACTTTCTCTGAATAAACATACCTTTTTTTCCGCACGCATTCTGATTTATAACCCCCAAATTATGGGGAGGCCGCAATGTGGGAAATATAGTTCAATAGTTTGGTCAGGAGAGCACTCCAAAGTAAGGACCCCTTTAATTTTACGTTTTGCTATTTCACTATATCTCGAGAACTTTTAATTCGAATTGAAACATTTTTGCAGTCAATTATAAAATTCATTTATCCAAAGATAATTCCATGTAAAAATAGCTTTTATTAAACATTTGTTATTTTTTATTATTTCATTCGAAAAAATTTTGAATAGTAAGGAACACAAATTTTTGCATCATTTTAAAGAATATAATTTTACATGGCAAAATACAAAATTAGAGCATAATCGGTCGATTAGTTTCTGAGAAATCGAATTTTAAATATTTGACTTTTTTAAAATTCAATTAGTTTGCACTTATTAATTAGTATATTTTAATTTTTTTTTTGCACCCTGAACATTGAGTCAAAAAAATATACCACCCAGAATGACTTTTGCTCTAATGGCTGAATTTCTACATACTAAGTTGCCAATTCCAATGGTACAAAGGGCTGCATTCTGGAAAATATGGTGCCAATAGCTTAGTCAAGAGATCAATAAGTTAATTTCATTTCTGTTTACTTTGAAAACTTTTTTAGCTAACAGAAAAAAATTTGCACACAATATTAACTTATTCGAGCGTAATTCAGGCAAAAAATATATTTAATAACTCTTTATAATTTTATTTAATAATAAATTATTTTATTTAATACAAATTTTGTAATACAAGGAAAATAAATTTTTGCAATTTCAAATTATGTAATTTTAAGACAAAATCCAAAATTTGAAGGATATAAGCCGAATTAAAATATTAAATTTTAAAAAAAAGTCTTATTTTTAAATTTTAATTTCTCAAAAATTATTCATCCGTTTTTGTACAAATTTTGATTACTGTTATTTAAAATTGTGAAATTTAAAATTGTTTAATTTAAAATTGCATAATTTAAAATGATGTGAAAACTTGTGTATCTTACAATTCAAAATTTCTACGACACTTTAAAAAATAATAATAAATGAGCATTAAAACTATTTTTATAATTATACATATTTAAGCAGCAAATGACTAAAAAATTGGTTTGTAATGTTCCATTTTGCGAACTCTCATTTGAACAACAAATTACTCAGATTGAGTACATGATGTCTTTTTTTGAAACTATGATTTTCGCTCAGAAATGAGTATAGTATTGCTATTCCTTTTTTGAGCATAACACTATACTCAATAATAATTAAAAGGTTTTTATTAATTAAAGGAATTATATATTTAAGGGGACATTTTATCAAAGTTCCAAGAGTTCAGTTTAACGTTCGAAGTTCAAATGGAGCTATTTTGGAGTTAATCGAAAACAACACATTTTTGCTAAATTTTGAGAAACTTTCTTTTTACGTGTACTTTCATTTCTCGTAAAGCATAATGAAAGAGCGGATTGAAATCTGATGTTATGCCGTAAGAGCCATTTCTAGATTTTACTAGATTTTGCCATTACTAAATTTTGGCATAGCTTTCAGCAGCTAAGCATTATAATGACCTAACCACATTTTAGCAACAGCAAAGAGAACTGCCCCATTAGCAAAACGTTGTTTTTTCGGGAAATTCTGCATGGACAATATTATGAAAATTTTCACGCTGAAAACAAAGGCTTTTATGCTATGTGCATTTTGTGTGGTTATGTATCTTTTGACTAAAAATTAAATGTATGAGCATGATCTAACATAACATACAAACACATTTTAATAACAACCTGATGAGATCCAAAAACGAAAACATAAACGCATTTATGCAAAGTTACAGTTAACATAGCTGATGCCCCACAATTCCCCATTTAAAGATTTAGTCTATTCTGGGCTCTCACACTTCTCCCAGAACGAGTAATTAATAATTTTTGGAAATTTATCCTTTTTCTGAGTCAAGACTCTTGGATCTGGAACTCTTGTTTCGATAAATATTTTAAATCAAGAAAGTGTATATCAGTTAAAGTAGTTTCGATCAATATAATGAAATTTAATGATCTAGAAGTTTTTAACGAAAAATCAACTGAGTATTATTTAAAGCTGCTCTAACAACCTCAATTTTATTCTCCTAAAAATAGATAAAGGTACTCAATGACAAATTCTTACAATTTAAAAATAATCATATGCTCAGTTTCGTATTTTTATTTATAGTTTTGGACTCAAATTAATTCGAATTCGAGTTGCAGATAATGGATCACCTAGACAGTTTTAAACAATATTATAATTCTCTTCTGAACTTTGAGTCATGCTCTTCTAATTTTTATGTTTGTAAATTATCTTACCCTATTACTTAAAGACCTCCATCTTTATTTTGACTATGACAAGAGCTTCAGAGCGCATACATAAAACCAAACTTTATCGCCAAGGTTCAAGGAACAGCCTAGTCAGTAAGCAGATCCAAGAGCATATTTATTTCGAAATAAACGAATACCTCGCAGACAAAAATATTCAGAAGATAGAGTGGCAAGCCAGACCTCCAAGCTTGAGTCTCATCGAGCATATGCTGGAGGTTCTTTGCAGAGCAGCTTTCCATCTCCCTCCCGAAACCCTTCCAGACCTAAAAGATATGGTCCAGAGTCGTGAGATTTATTGTCCAAAGACCATAGATGTACAGTCCAAAAACATTTGGAAGCAGTATGAAAGTTCCTTGGTTACCCACATTGCCATCTGGGGACCATAACCCGGATTAAACTCTCCGCTGCTACAATTTGGCTACTTCGTTTTTTAACCGTCTACTCGTAATCTTGGATTCATGTCATTACCTTTCCGTTACCCTTATTTTTGTCATACTTTGAAGCATTTTTATTTAAAAATATCGAAGAATTTGGTGCAAAAAATTAATTTTAAGACTTATAAATATTTAAAATTACCTCAAACTTCAGCATTAAATTTGTTTGAAGATTTTATTTCTGTCTACCTAAAATACTTTGCTTAAGCCAAACATTTACTTAATAAAAAAAATGAAATTCACAATTAAAATTATTCTAATGAATTTAAGAGTTTAGTGTCGATGATTGATGGACACTTAAACCTTAAATTCATCGTCCACCCCCTCTCTATGCGCCATTGCTCTAAATTCTGTGAAACGTGAAAGTAGAGTTGAAGGTAGCGGGTTCGATCTTGCCGTAAATCTAACTACGTTTCAGTAATGTCTTTCAATCTATTGAGCGGCGTGTCCCATTTAAAAAGACTTACAAGATGTAATTTGATCCAAATAAATAATCAAATTTATACGTGTTACTATCTGAATAAATTAATACGAGCAAGAATTATAAATTTTTAGTTTGATACCAATAATGTGCCATTAATTACCTGAATGGTATATCGATTTATAAATGCTTTTTTTATTTAGTAATTATATTTTAAAAACCAGAATTTGTTATATCATTGAAAAAACGCAATATAAGTAAGCAAATTTTGTTTAAACTTGTAAAACATTATAACTTTTTTAGCTTGTTCACGATTTTTCTTTCCACCTTTACTTTGTATTCTACTACATACAGCTTAAAATCTGTCACATTAAATAGAATATGAACGTTCTTGTCATTCTTCGAAACAAATCCATTCGCTGAATCCACTATTATATAAAGAACTATCACATTTAAACTTTTATTATGAACATTTTTTTTTTCGAACGGAAGTTTTCTATATCGGTGAAACGTGTTTAAAAATACGCTATAATGACACGACTTAATTCGATACGCTTCTCAGTATCTTCTCTCACGCTGTCCAAAGCCTAACGGGATTGAACTGAATGAATACACCTTTCAAATCGTCTCTGCGAACTGAGATTCAAAAGGTGTTCTGTTTCAAGGATTACTTAACAATCATGAAGATGAGAATTCTGCGCTTCCGGGAAACCGCTTTGTTCCATGTAATGGACATGGTTTGTCGTTTTCTTTTTCTGTCCATTTGTTTTGAGAGCTTCGTGTAAAAACAAAGGAGAAGTGACAAGTGTGTATTTTAAAAATACCATTCAGCTATTGCAATAAGAATCGGTTTCAGTTCAAATACTTTGAAATCATTAGAATATCACAGAGAACTTTACGAACATCTGATCAAATTATCGTTTGCAAGCAATTTTAAAAGTAATGTTCCCAAAATCAAATTATATAGATCATTGAAATTTTATAAGCATTATTATGATACGGATCCAGCTTTCTATTTTTAAAAGGAGTTGTGTATATCTAAAAATGTTCTTCACGAAGAATATAATTTTTTAATAATTAAAAAAAAAATTTCATACAAGCTCTTAGAACAAAACCGAAAAGATGTCAAACCGAAATTATGTGAAGCCGAAATGATGAGAAAACCAAAAAGATGTCAAACCTGAAAGAGGAATTAGAGTTCCTTTTTTTCCAAAAATTATGTTACTTTGAAAATAAATACGAGACGAAAATACTTTACATTGTAGCAATTTTATCGAAATTATAGTTGTTTCGAAAGCGAAATTTTTTCTCTTTTTAGTCAAGTTTCAGATATTAAAATTAATAGCGCGAGTTTTATAGCGATTTTGCAAAAAATGGAATACAAATTGGAAAAAGAGTAGAATGTTTTTAGATTAGATTTGAAAACTATTAAGGCACATTATTTCCTTCCCGTTTTTTTTTTTTTAAACTTTGTTAACTTTAAAAGTTATATAATATGCATCGCTTTTCTTAGCTATAAAGAAAATATGCTTATATTTTTCTTTAATTAAACAACAGGAGAAATAAAATAAAACAGTTTTTGAAAATATAAGTAAACTATTGTATTGCTTTGAGTATGAGTACCAGCTATTATATCAAATTGCGGTCTAAGGATTGTTTTGCTTGAGAGGAAATAAGTAAAAAGCGGTTTCCTACTTAATTTTAAAAAATAAAATTACGTTGAAAAGCGCTTCTCGAGAAGAAAAAAAAACAAGGAATTGCCTTTCACCACTTGCTCTTAAGATAATTATGTGTTAAGCATCATTCTTCCAGACCATTATCGTATGACGCATTTCTTGTTTTGTTCAATTGGTATTTAAGAAATCTATCTAAATAACCTTTAATATATTCTTTAACATTTTAATGCGTAAAATTATCAAATAAAAAGGGAAATAATAAATATATTTCTTTGTAATAACAGGGTAAGCCCAAATGAATGACTGGATTTTAAATTTTTATTTTTTTCGAAATTATTACACACCATACAATAAATGATACATAAAAAACACCAAATTCTTTTTAATTTACAATTGTTGGATGCGTGACCATTTAATTACAGACCCACATTTAAACTTTAATCAATTTCGTTCGATACATTTTGTAGTTTTCACACTGTCAATAATTCCCAATTCTGCTGCACAAATGCATTCTTTGAACTTCTACAGTGTTTTTGGTTTCGGTGGTTCATCTTGTGAGTGTGGGTAATAAATGATTCATTCTCAATCACATGGCCACCAAGATCTCCGGACCCTACATCGTGCTATTTTTTCTTGTTTGTGAGTATCTTGTTAGTGCAGATGGCAAATGATTCACCCTCAATCACATGGCCACCAAGATCTTCGGACCCTACATTGTGCTATTTTTTCCAGTTTGGGATTCAACAAACACATTGTTTATCGATGTGAAAAACACTACCCCATGGAAACCCATAACAATGTGAAACTACAGAATGTGTGAAATAAACTTGATTTGATGGTTTTGTCGAGTAAACATATATGCACACTAGTTATATAGTTTTGAATAGCAATAGTTCTGAAAGGATAGGCACTTTAAGTTCTGTTATTTATTTGTACTAATCATGAATTTAATTTTTCATGAACTTATCTAACAGAATCTTACATGATACACTTTCTTTATTACCATATAACAGGGTTTCTTAAACTTTCATTTACGAAAACTTTTGGGGACCCCATAAGCATTGCGCAAATCCGACAAACACTGATAAGCATTTTCAGTTTCTTCACTTGTACTATAACTACCATGCTGTAATATAACTACTGCAGTTTGAGGGTTTTAAGGTGAAACTTTTAATTAAATAACAAACTTAAAAATGTAATACAATAATAAAAATGCGTCGAAACGTTTTTTCTTTGTCTGTTCTGTCTTATCTTTATCTATTTTCAGACGCAATGTGATAAAATATTTGTAATTATAAAATTATTATAATATTTTAAGGAACTATCAAAAATGCTAAAATTCGGAACCCACTATTTAAGAAACTCTGCGAGGCGTATTTTTAACCATCTAAATAGATTTAAAATAATTAGTTGCTGATTTACACAATTTAGTGACTAGAAATTTAAAATTTAATTACTAGTTCAACTTTTTACAACAAATTCATTCTAAGTTCACTCACTCTAAGTCACTGATAAATTTTGCTGGTCACCATTTATAAACAATTCATATAGTCTCATAAATACTTATTATTTCATTTATTTATGTCTTGTAAAATCGCTCTGTTATTATTTTGAACACAGATTACTATAAAATGCAACTTTTCTGATATAGATCAATATTCTAACATATCACTTTAATGAATATTCATTAAAGAATGAATATTCATTAATAAATATTCATTCAAGTTAACTGAATTTTTTAAAAAAAAATTTCAAATCTGTTGCTTATAGGGGTATAAATAATAAATTTTAAAAAATTTCTTCCTTTCTTTACATTCAATTTAGAGACTATATCCGTTTTAAATATGCTGCTGGTGCTGATAATAATATCAATATTGGTGTCGATAACAATTTTAAAAGTAAATTTAAAAATTTTCTTGCTTTTCTTGTAAATTCCTTTTTAGAGACGAAACTCACGTTAATTTCAATATAATACAACTCACTGTAATGTACTATTTTAATAAAATTTACTCCAATTGAAATCTGAAATACGATAATAAGTCGTTATTGTAATTTCTTTCAAGTTTCAAGTTTGAAATATGCAACTATATAACTTATGTTTATGTGAAGGAACAAAAACTTGCAACAATTTGGAAGCATTGCTTAATTGAGTTAACTGCAATTTCAAGACAAGAATAAAAGAAAGAATAAATAAATAAATAATAATAAATAAAAACCAAACACATTTCGTATGAAAAGTGGGAGGACACGAAAAGCATCCCTTTCTATGCGTAAATGATACCTAAGGACATATGCATGGCATTTCCTGTTATATGCACACTATAATTATAAAATGACTTATACATGTCACGCCGTGGCTTAATTATCGTGTGTTATCTTCAATTTGCACAGTTTTTTTGCTCGACATTAATTTATTATCATTGGTACTTAAAAACTACGCAGCATTTTGCTTTTACTTATACAACTCAATCAAAGAAGTGTATTATTTAAATATTAGTATTAAATCAATTTTTAAAAAGTACTACACAATCCTTGTTTTAGCTCAGCTTAAGAAAAAAGTGTACCACTTATCAATTATGTTTTTTTTTCTTCCTTCTTTATTAAATAAACATAGAATCTTGCACTAACCCTCCATAAAAATTCTATATATCCGTTCATGCATCTGTATAGCATAAACGATATATCGAAACCGTTTATAATTTTTTTAGCTCATTATTACAGGACACTAAACCACATGTTACGATTTCTTAATGAAAAAAAGAAGATTCAAATTTCTTTGGTTGTCCTCTGCATGAAATTAGCAAAAGTT